GATTGCGAGGAAAGTGTTTTGTATGTTCTGAAATGCATTTATACACTTTTCTCTAAGAAATTTATGAATGACAAACTTCTTTTCCTGTTGAGGAAGACAAAACTGATTGAAAGACCTTTTGAATATATGATTTGTTCGTAGCATGCAACATGTCTTGGGTGGTACCAATAGAAATTTGTAAGAGCAAGAAGCTGAAATAATGCACTTTGTATTTCAATGCTGACGTTATCTGAGTGAAATAAACAGGCAATTTTCGCAAACAGAATAAGGAACATGCTTTACAAAATATTCAAAAGTAAAACTTTCGGTTTCCCAGTGATGGTCATAAAGCAAAAGGACTATGAACTCTGTATAAGTGGAGGAGATGTACTAGCTCTTTATTCCAAGGCTGTTTGTTGCATACTGAGTCACTCAGCCATCGTGCTCATATTGTTTCATTGTTCTGTAAGTCTTGTCATTTTTTAACATTCTCCCTTTTATTTGTTTTTATTTCTTTTGAAAGGGAGAAGTGAAGTGAATGCTGAAAGACAAGGATACTTTTCCCAGTGATAAAATATTAAAATTATGAAGTGCTCCTCTGAGCTCTTCTGCCATAGCTGCTGCCTTGTGTTGTATGGGTGTTATCTTCTACAGGAGCACATATTACTTCAGAGAAAGGCTTGAATAACTTCAGTTGAAAGCCAAGGTTATTGTACCAGCAGATTTTACTGCAGAGTCATATATGATTTTTACAGGGATTGAAATTATGAGCATGATATCGTGGCTGAGTTTTGGACTCAGTGACAAGGTAGTAGGCAATGCTATCTAATTTGAAGAACAATTTAGAGAGCTACATGCAGATATAGCAGAAAATTGGGCGTCATTGCATGGAAATCTGCAACAATATTCTGTTTCTTCTGAGTTGGAATTCCTTTACCATGAAATAACAAACAAATTCTCCAGTTTTCCATGACTTTTCCCAGCTCGCATGCAGACGGTGCAACAAGCAGAGAAATGCAGAGCTTCTTCCCAAGAAAGATCAGAGGCATATATGTTTCCTCTTAAAAATCTTGTATGCTTCTTTTATCAGCAGTATAAAAAACAATGAAACTTAACGATCTTGAAGTCTTTGTAGGTGTTCTGACTCCCTGTGTTTTATCAGGTACAAAAATTTTTTCCTATCTTGTATTATATTTAGAAAATGCTTTATCATCTTATCCTTCTTATCCTTAACTTTGTTTTATGATTGTGCCTTCTGGCTTGAACAAATACACTGAGTGCTTTCAGAGAGTGCCGAGCTATTCAAGGATTGTACACAACAGAAAGAAGGGGAAAATATCTACATGTCATTAGATAGCCAGTCCCAAATGGAGCAAGAAAAATGAGCCAAGTTGGAACTTAGATTGGGATACTCATGAAACGTTGAGAAGTGGCATTAGAAGAGAGCATATTATAAATTCTGTGCAGCCTGAGCATATCATTTAATCTCAAACTCAGACATCAATGTCAATAAAACAATTGGGGATTTTTTCCTCTATAAAACTACACTGAGAAACTCTATAAGCAGTTTGCAGTTGAAAGATTATAGCAGTTAGTAACTGAATGTTCAGGTTTAATGATGGATTTGTAGAAATGTCGCTATTGTTTATCCTTTGCTAAAGCCAACTCAACCTGTGATCGTACAAGGGAAGACTATCTTTTATGCGAATAGGCAGAAGAAGGAAGAATTCTGTCAACGCTGTAGTTAGCAATAAATCTATTTTAATTTAAAAGTAGATACGTTAGTATCTCTAACAACCTTGATACTTATGTCTAAATCCAATATTATCGTTCAGGAGAGAGATTTATCACGTTACAGTTTTGTTCCCAGATTTCCAAGTATTTGAAATTGGTTCTGCTGGCTGCTGCCGCCGCCGATGTTTCCAACTGTCGCTCAGCAGGACTGTTTCCAAGAAGGAGAAGTGATCAGTCGGTTTAGTTGCCATGCATGGTTTCAGTAACTGATTCAGAGAGTTTGTGACTCCCAGTCAGCGTGAGCAGAGGATTCTCATGAAGTCCATGATAAAGAGATGGAGTCTGTTGTAGAGAACGGCACCCTCGCAAGTTCTTTGGATTGCTCCTGATAGTATTAATGGGGAGCCATAGTCTGCCCTTGGACATGCAAATCTGAAGCAGAATCTCACACTGCTTTCGAAAGGATGTATTTACATACGATTAAAGACAGAATTAGTCTTTATGTTTTCCTGGGCTTCAACTCTGTCTTTGACTCAATAGGATGACCATCTGTCAGTGCTAGTGTGTTAAATAGTTCTCACACTATCACTCTACTCAGAGGAGCTATCTGAAATTGTCACCTCATCGTTTCTGTTCTCCCTGTAATTACAGGTCAGGGCTGCTTCCTTCCAGGGCAGAGATAAGTTTCTGTTGCTGTTTATTTCCCATAGCTTTGCAGAGCCACTGCAGCTCCAAGAGGGAATTGGATTCTGTCCATCTCCATGTATCATTAGCGTTGCTCTCCTGTCTCTCAGTGCTGTTTTTTCTTCACCAATGGTGTTAAAACTGTTTAAGTGGCTGTTTTGAATTTCAAATCCCACTTGAACTTGTCAGAAGAGCAAAATCTATGGGATTTTGAAAACTGTCCCCTACATAGCACTGAAAAATAAGGACTATTAGCACTGCTGGGATAGTATTTGTCACTGGTATTATTTTCTGCATCACTCTAAGTTTGAAAGTGTTATAAAAAAGGTCTTTACGGCCTTCAACTTTGGCCTGTGAAAGGAGCATTGCCATTTTCCAGTTCTTACTTGAATCATAGAACCTCCCCAAAACGGGAGACAAGGGCAGATTTTCAACTTTCTCAGAAATAATAGTTTATCTGAATTATTTTGAATTATTGACAGCAAACTTTACTTTCCCTGCAAGTTAGTTATGGTGCAGGTTTCTTTGCACTGTAGCTAAGCTTGTTTTGACACATGGAGTTTTCTTTGTTTACTTCATAATACTTTACTTAGTCAGTTTGGTGCTTCTTGTTTTTTCTTTCTTTCTTTTTCTCTTTTTTCTTTTTTTCTGTTTTCTTCTTTTTTGTCGTCTTCTTTTTTTCTGTCGTCGTCCTTTTTTCTGTCGTCGTCCTTTTTTCTGTCGTCGTCCTTTTTTCTGTCGTCGTCCTTTTTTCTGTCGTCGTCTTTTTTTCTGTCGTCGTCTTTTTTTCTGTCGTCGTCTTTTTTTCTGTCGTCGTCTTTTTTTCTGTCGTCGTCTCTTTTTCTGTCGTCGTCTCTAATGACTCGCACATTGAGTCACAGTGGTTTTTTTTTAAAGCTTTCACTTTTTCATTGTTTGTTTTTGAGGTTACATTATGCAAAATACAATGTTATATTTTGTGTGTGAGTACAGTTTGTATAGAAATATTTTTAATTCTTTTATGAAAATTGAAATAGCTCTGCTCTGGGGAAGAGGCTTTATGCCTGTTTCAAGTATTCTGTATTCTGAACTGCTGTTTTTTCCCCTGTCTGAAAAGGCATAGGTCATGTGTCTCAACTTTAAAAGTATTCTAAGAGGGTAATTCTTGTATGCTCTTGCACTGGTAATTTGGTTTAGCTATTCACCATGAATTGCAAACCACTGAGAATTATCAAAAGGTAGTTTTGTTGTTTAAATAATTTTGAATATGAAAGAGAACTTTTTCTACTTCACCGTAAATGCGAGAAAAGTCAGGGTAAAAAATACGAGGGAGTTATGAAGAGGGGAAAGGACAGACTTCTTATTTATCTTATTTACTTTCAATGGATTTGCCTTATGGACCAGAATGAACAAGTGAGTTGAAGTAAATACATTATTCAAAACTACTCTTTTGACTTAATTAAAACTCTGTTCTACCAATCATTTTCATTACTGTGCCACTTTTTTTTCTTTACTTTCTGATGAGGCAAGACACTGTGTCTTTTAATGATTTGATAATCATGTTCACTGCTGAGCTTTTATCCTAACAGTCTGCAGCCTTTGGCCCCTTGTGTGGTATTTGTTGCATCCAAAAATCCTACTGAAGATATGTCAGAATTGTGAGTGCTCAGCTCCACCATCAGTATGAATAAACACTTTGCTGAGGATAGCACAGGTGTGTTGTTTTCTCTGTTGAAGCCACTGATCTGGTAGACTCTGGTAGGAGAAATGCGTTTAGTGCAGAGAAAGGTATTAGAAAACTTAGTAGTCAACCAGGTTACTATTTACCATGATTCTTTTGTGCATTTTAACGCAGGCTGTAAATCTGTGCTCCTGCCTTTTCCTCTGTGAACTACCAAAATTCTTCTAAAACTCATGACTATAATATACACATCGATATGGAATACTGAGGGTATTACACAAAAGAAAACTACAAACCTCCCCACCAAAAAACTATGAAAAAAACCTCTCTCTACAGACATTTCTCTCAACATCTAAAAGGCACACATAACACATGTTAACGTTAGTAGTTTTGGTGTAATCTGGAGGCACAAATATGGTCTAAATGTTTTGTGAAAGGGTCCTGAAAATGTTTGCTCTCTAAAGTGAAGATAAAATAATACTTCATTTACAAAGCACTAGTGAACAGAAGAATTAAGTTTCATGAGGGATTAGGCTATCAACCCAGGATGTGAAATATGTGTCTCTCTCTGTTCCTCTTGAGATTTCCTCTGCCACCTTTCTTAGAGCCTTTCATTTTTGCCTTGAAGTCCTCCACTACAAAATGAAAGAAATGCTGCTATCCTAAATCGTGCTTCATTTTGTCAGGATAAATTGGTTGGTGATTATTAAAGCTTACAGCGCTGCGATAATGGTATGTAAAGGGGAAGCTCTCTCTTCACCCACCAGACTGGCATAACCTTCCTAGAGCAGCATTAGTTACAAGTAAGCATCAGACATGTTTTTTCAGTAAAAACAGGCAAGAGTGTCAGCTGTATAGAAATACGTTTTCTTCTTTCAACTATATGTGATCATGGAAAGATTGGAACAAGACACACTAACAAGCTCTTCTGTTTCCTTCCTAGAATTACAACAACAGCTGCTTGTATGATGGACCTACGGAGATATCCGCTGGATGAGCAGAACTGCACGCTGGAGATTGAGAGCTGTAAGTACTTCTGCAAATCCTACTTATTCTGTGGTCAGCTGCTTCAGAGTTTTTATTTCTTTTTTTTTTTTTTCTTTTTTAACATGCTACTAACCTAGTTGTCTTTCTGTCTGATGACATTTAGATCCTTGTAAACACATGCAAAAAAAAAAAAGCTTTCCAGATGGATTAGTAATTTGTGGCACAAGGATTAGCAAAAGTTATTCTATGTTTTGATGGACAATTTACAGCTTTAAAAGTCTCATTCAAATGCCTTGTTGGAGTTCATGTGAGGAGCAGGAGGATTATTATCAGTTCTTTATCCTCCTTTACTGCTGAACTGTGTGGCAGCTTGTTTCCATTTATAAATGACAGCAAGAGGTTAGAATTGTCCTTGAAAGAGGTGTTTTGTGGTTTTTTTCTAACCCCTGTGCTGTAGTTAAATTTTCGATGTATACAATGCAGTCTGTTATATATACTGATTTAATAGCTGGTGTCTCTATCAAACTTTCTGTGTAGATAAAAACTTGTGTTGTGAAATAAAATTTCCAATCTCTTTTCACTGAAAAATCTTTAGGGAATCTAAGTATATAAGAGAAAAAACAATTCATGATCACTTTTATAAAGACAGTATTGTAAGCACGCATTATTTGGCACTTTAATTAAGATCGTATGAGCACTTTCAAGATAAATTTCCTTTTTCAGGAGAACCATAGGTAATTCAGCTGGGGTGTATTAGTAAGTGGAATGTGGAAATTAATGGCATGTTTTAAAATACAGTACACAAAAGTATGTATTTTTAAAGTAATTTCTATATTATAAAAGATTATGTGGGATTTCTGTGTGCATTGAGATACAAAATGATAGTGCTACACTCTGGTAAGAACTTGGTACAGCTGAGCGTCTTTCTCCTATTCTAGAAAGCGTTTAAGAATGTGCTTTAAATTGCGTCCAGGTTTCTTTCATTTTAGCGTAATTTAAAGATATGCCGAAATCCTTTCCTGAATTAAACTTGTGACACTGCTGTCTGAAATAATTTGTGCACATAAAATAAGCAAAACGAGTCTTTATTGTTAAAGTTCACCCCTTCTCTTTGCTGAAATACACGAGCAGCAAACGTGATGATGGACTTTGCTCATTTGAGAATGGATAAAGTCTCGGTGGGTGTTTTTTTTGTTTGTTGTTGTGGGTTTTTTCAGTAGAATTTCGATTGATAGCATTTGATTCAAAATTTCATACCTGCAGCCTTTTACAAGTCTAGCAGGCTGATTTTAATGTGCAAGAAAACTACCCGCGTAACTGATTTTGCCAGTGTCTTTTAATTGTTGTTGCAGCAAGGACATGGAATTTTTCTTTTTTCCAATTCTATGTGTAAGGTGGAAAGTTCGAGAGTCCTTTCTCTCTATTTATAGCGTTGTTTAAACAGTCAACAAAATCTTGCTATCTCTCTGCATTGCTGAGATGCTTGAATCTTCCTGGGATTCACAAACTGAATATCCCCTGCCTGTCATGCTTGCAGGACTCACTCTGGGAAATATTCCCAGGAAATACCTCCGAAGTCAGTCCTTATGCAAGACTGAGAATTAAATTATGTCCCTACTTTTCAATGAGAGCGCTTGCTCTTGTTCAGGCTTAGAATGTGGGACTTCTGGGTTGAAATTTCTCTTTCATCTGATTTGGAGTAGAAGTTGAAACCAGAGATCAGTTATCTTTCAAGAAACAAACCTGGAAAACAGGGTATTAAGCTCTCAAAATTGTTTTTCTGCTTGGTATGAAGAGCACAGTACACCTTGTATCATAGAAAGGGTAGGTGTTTAATTTACCATAGTGGTTAGGATGCTTGTAGGAGAGCTCCTTTGTGGATTTATCAGCTCTGTTGCAGCATCACAAAAGCAAAATGGATTTAAATCAGGAATACTGTATATAGCTGGCCTGTCTTTCATTGCAGTAACAAAGGCCTTTAAAGAATGCAGATAGAAGTGATACTTGCACTGTGTTTTGAAATGCTTCTATGCTGATCTAGAAGATTATTGCTCTTCATATATGTCTTCTGAGTCTGTCTAATCTTTATGAATCTGTTCAGACAAAAATGCTGGTAGGTAGATAGGTAGAGTGAAAGTGACTTCAAGTTGTTCAATGCAGGTACTCAAGTCACAATCACTTCTTTAAACTGGTTAAGCTGCATGCCAAAAGTTACTTGGTTTCTTGCCATTGGATGGCAACAGACATTGTTGGATGTCTGCTTCACCACTGCTCTCTTGTGATGGTTAGTAATTCTCTAAATTCTACCCCAACTGTTTTCATGGCTCTGAAGGGATGAAATTATACTCACTGCTTGTGTAAACAATTTTTTTTTTAGTTCAAAGTCTTCTCCAGCCCTGCTGGGACCTTCATAATACATTTAAAGAAAGCAGTTATAGTTTCTCATAGGCTTCATTTCATGAAAGTGAACATGCCAGTCTCTTTTAGCTTTCTCATACAAGAGCACTTTAAGAGAAATGCAGAACTAGTTAATGCTAGTTCTTCATTAGGAATAACTAATACCATAAACAATATCTCAGATGAAGTCTCTATTACACTATGGCATTAATCCTGCCCTTTTTCCAAGAGCCACTTTTGCTTTTCTTCATAACTGCATAACTTTCACAGTTAGATGAAGATGATAGTCTTTCCTGGAACAGTACAGTAAGGTCTTTCCCTTCCTCACTCATTCTCCAGCAGTGAGCTCTAGCTTGTGGTAGAATTTTTTTTTGCATAGTACTAACAACAGATGACTTGGCATTTCATAACACTGTTCACAGAAATCAATGTTCTTAATATTGCTACAGTCCTCAAGGTTATTCAGTTCTTGCTATATTTGTTCGGATCGTCCTTTGTTTTAACAGTGCCTGCAGATTTTGTTTCATTAGAAATTTCATTAACACAGAAATGCTAAAGAATATTAATGCCAAGAAGGAAGAGCTTTGCTTATAATTGTTCTCTGTACTGAGCATGGTCTATTTTTTCAGTGCAGTTCAATTTCCTACACATCTTTTATATATTTTAACTAACTGTCTATTCTTAGTTAGTCTTATATCAAATGTTTTAATAAAGTCTGGGTTAGTTATGCTTTGTTTTAAAAAAGGAGTTATTGGCCAGCCAGATCCTTTGAGTTAAGTCATGATAGATTGTCATCGCATTTCCATACATAAATGTCTCTTATGTCTTTCCATTCTTTCTCCACTTCTTCCTTCCTTTCCCCTCCTCATCCTGTTACTGCTGCCAGAGTTGCTTGGCTTCTTAGCTGCCTGAGTTACGTTTTTCCATGTCTCCTTGTGTTTACTGAAATTTGTGATCAATATAAAATTATTTTAAATCTAGATTTGCATAAATCTAAATTAATTTGTAAATTATACATTATGGTGGAAAAAAGTTGTATGTAAAATATAAAAAATGAAATGATGGAGGTGGTATTGTCTATTAAGATACAAGAGGCAGCATTTTTCCTGTATCGGTTTAAGTTAGTATTAATGAGATTAGATGCTGAAAGTATAAGAGAGGACTACACCCTGTTAGCTTATAGAGTATCAAATTTAAGAACTGAAATCCCATTTTTTTCATGTATAGCTAGTTACATCTCTGTGATCATTTTTGGCTTTGCTCGTCCTTAAAGGGCAGAAACGGGTTGAATGTTTGATTTTGCTATGCCACTTCTAAATCTGTAGGCCGTCTTTTTCCAAGGGAGTCTAATCTGAGGTATTGTACTTCTCCCTTTCTTTTGTTATTTCCCAACACACTGAATAGCAGGGTTATAATACTAGAGGGAAATCAGTTTTCCCGTGTATTCATTTCTTAGTTTCCCAACTTGCAGGCAACAGAGAGCTTTTTCCTTTTTAGTTGAATATTGACTTGACTCAGTAAAATACCTCTTCTTTCTACTCCCCACCTCTGCTACCGCGGTGAGCATTGCTGAGTTTCTGATGATGCTCTAGAATAATTTTGTTTCTCTGCTGTTCCCTGCCTCTTTGGAGTTGTAACTGTTGAAGGGAATGTCTTAGCCAATCAATCATAAAACTAGTGGGAGCTCAAAGGCAAAAAGAAGTACAAGGGAGTTTGAAGAATATTTCATATTCATGTAGACAAATAAAATACCATATTGCACATCCTCTAGCATAACAGAGAGAAATGACTGTGATTCTTCTGAATATTTTTAAATATAATCATTCAAGATTCATCTGGTACATTTAGACCTTTGTCCATTTCAATTATGTGGTGCCACATAAAGACAAAAATTCACTTCAATTCTTTATCTCATTTCATAATGTGTTTGACATAACTATATTTATGCTATACTGAAACTGCCTGCTTTGTGATAGTGATTTTTTTTTTTCAATATCTTTATTGCTGTGGAACAAACAAGAACACACTGAGTTTCTCCTTAGAAAAATATTCTCAGAAACATTTTCCATGGTGTATTAAAGACGTGGCATTAAAAAAAGTTCATTAAAGCCCTGCTCTCTGAAGCCTTAGCAAGCAAGGAGCTTGCCACTCAGATGTACTGACCAGGGAAAAAGGGCAGAGTCAGAACAGCGTGCGCAGATGGGTAGGAAGGACTGCTTTGCTGACGAATGAGAAATAATTGTTTTCAGGATATTTCATTTATGTAACAGCCTGGGGTGCTCGAATCAGAAATCATTAAATTATTTTGTTTTCTGTTTCATGAGCAAAAGGCCACAGAAGCACAGTAAGATAAGTTGAAAAACTTCAATTCAATAACAGAATGTAGAAAAAGCCAGAAAGAACAGAGGTGAAAGAATATCATTCCTCCCAGTGGCAGTGCAGCCCAGTATCAAACACTTTCTAATCAGATCATCTGAAAGCTCATCAACAAGAGAAACAGAAGTCATCTTTGTGTGCTCAAGGTGACTTCACAAGCACATTTAAGGCACTGAGAAGAAATCAAAGATGCCTTTTGCTGAAGCCTTGAGTACTTTGCAGATGGCTGCTCTGGCCATTGATCAAAGCTATAATCAGGTCACATG